ACTCGTCTTGGATCTTGGCCACTCGGTTCGCGACAAACGTATCCCAACGGTGGGGTGAAGAATGAACCCAACATAAGGCGACGGTGGAGTCGGAAAAGGCAAATATTCTTTCTATGTGAACTCTATCCCTACATGCGCCGATAACTGTGGTAATAAGCTTGGTGAGTACTAATATTGCGCAAAGCTCTAAGCGCGCCAGAGAGACAACCTTACGGGGGGAGACTCTCGACTTAGAACTAATGAGGCTAATCGAATTTCTACCATTATTCTGGACATGGAAATATACAACGCCCCCGTAAGCCTTCTCGCTGGCGTCTGCAAATCCAACAACCGTTATGCTGCTATTTCTATCGACATTTATATGACGCGGTATTTTAATTTCTCTTAGTAAAGGAAGTTCCTCTCTAAAGCGCTGCCACAATCGAACAATGCTGTCAGGCGGCGAGTCATCCCAATCGCATTCAAATAACCAAAGTTGTTTAATCAAAAGCTTAGCGTATAATACCACCGGAGCTACGAAACCCATGACGTCCCATAATCTAGCAACGCATGACAGTATTGTGCGCTTTGTGCATTTCTCTACGGGCGGATTTACCTTAAGGCTAAACACGTCGGACTCTGGTGACCAACACAGACCGAGCACCTTGTGTGTATCGGAATCGTCGAATTCCTTTATCGCCGAAAGACGGTGTGATAGTGGGATTTTATCTAAAACCGGACGCGAATTACTAGTCCACTTCACAAGATCGAATTGACCCGATTTCATGAGCCTTATAACCTCGGCGGTGGTTAGGGTGGCCTCCTCCACGCTATCGACCGAATACACAAAATCATCCATATATAATCCGCTCTCAATTGCCCTCTTAGCTTTAGGATAAGAGGGACCTTCATCGTGAGCGAGCTGTCTCACCGTGCGTAACGCATGAAATGGGCTCGACTTTAAACCAAAACAAACGCGGTTAAATTCTAACACCATTAGAGGTTCCTTTGGGTGGAAACGATATAAAATGCGCTGGAATCTACGGTCGCATTCACGGACCCCTATGCAAAGAAACATTTGGCGAATATCGGCGGATAGTGCTATACTAAACAAACGAAAATTGACTATTATATCAAATAAACTGCCCTGTAAATTTTGCCCACTATAGAGGATATCGTTAAGCGACAGGTGAGTGCTAGTTTTAGCACTAGCGTCGAGCACTACACGTAATTTAGATGTAAGTTTGTCCTCTCTAATGACTCCGTGGTGTGGTATAAAATACGACGGTGTGTCTTCGTAGTTATCTAATTTCGAATCCACAAGTGATATGTAACCTTCTCTTATATATTCGTTAATGACGCCGTCGTAAGCTTCCTTTAACTGGGGCGAAGCGAGCATCCTACGCTCCAAGCTGTAGAAACGTTTTTCCGCCATTTGACGCGAATCGCCGAGAGATAAAACATCTCCCTTAAAGGGTAGCGCTACACTATATCTACCGTCGCGATCACGAACGGTCGTGCGGACGTAAATTTCCTCGCATATCCTGTCATCTGAACTAGCTATGGGTGGGACGTTCACCTCCTCCATCTCCCAAAATTTGCGGACTAACGACTCGAGCGGTTCGACAGCCATACCACAATAAGAGGCTGCCGAAATACTATCTAGGATGGGGGCGGAGCCAAGGATCACATAGCCCAATACGGTTTCCAGTGCGTAAGGCGCGGTATGCGAGGAGTTGCCCCTGACCTTATTGTTTAACAAAAGATGAGGGAAAAGCGATGCCCCAATGAGCATGTCTATGTTTCCAGGAACGGCGTAAGTGTCGTCTGCTAGAGTCAAATTTTTAAATTCAATCATTGCCGAGGTGTCAACCGAAACGGTTGGCAACCGTTCAGTGACCCTATCTACTACTAGTGCATTTATATCAAAGTTAACGTTACGATCTATCCGAGAATAAAATTTTAAATTTATATATCCCTGTGTCGCTTTACTAGTACCTCCGATGCCTTTAACTACAGGACATGAAAGTGACCTATTTATTACTAAGCATAAGCGCTGACAACATTGTCGTGTTATAAAGCTATTTTGGGCTCCGCTGTCCAGCAGTGCACGAACGCTTTGTTCATTTCCACGCGAATCCCTAACCAAAATACGCGCCGTACCCAGTAACACGGTTGAAGGAGGTTGTGCTCCCATATTTGCCAATGAGCACAGAGCGACATCATCAGGTCGACCGCTAGAATCGTTGACCTTAGTAGGGGTGAATTCCTTATTCGCCTTACTTGACGCCGCTATGTTGCTATTTTCAAAATGTAATAGCGTGTGATGTTTCCTGGCGCTCTTGCTACATACGGAACTCGAATTGCATTTTGCAACTAAATGCTTATCGCTTAAGCAGTTCAAACATAGGTTGTTTGTTTTTACTAACTTATAACGTTCGCTTGGTGAATATTTACGAAAAGTCGCACAGTTATATAAATTACCGTGTTTATCTTTACATACTATACAAGTATGCTGGAGTGATGTCGGCGTAGCGGTTACGTAAGTTAACGACCCTGCTATTTTAGATGGTTGAGTCTGTCTACGGTCGACGCACCTTTTAATCTCCTGTTTAACGTTCGGTGAGCGCTGCATCACCTTTATTTGATCTCGCACGAACGATGCTAATGAATGAAAGGAAGGCATCTCCGAGCTACGATGCTCCATTTCAAACGCACGCACGGTGTCGGAGTCTAATTTCTTTAATGCTATATGGAGAAACACCACGTCCATGAGGTCATTAAACTTCAAATTCTTAAGTGCAGCCACCGATGCCACAAATTTATCGAGAAACTGCTCTAAGCCGTTGATGTTCGCGGATGATATAGGTTTAAGATCGAATATCTGGTTCAAATATTCGGAAGCTAACATTCTCCTATCTTCATATTTAGTTTTAAGCGTTTCAAATATTAATACGTAATTGTTTGCTGTAGGTGTAAAACCCGAGCAGATCGACTGTGCTCTGCCACTAAGTTTGCTAATTAAGTAATATAATTTTTCAGCGTCCGATAACGATGGGTTGTTGTGTATATTGTTTTGAAAACTACTGAAGAAGAAGGGCCACGTCTTAATATCACCATTGAATACCGGAATATCTATTGGCGGTAACCTAATTGAGTCACGAGGGCGTACCTGCATTTCAGGCTTCGCTTCACCTTGAGATTGTAGCAATTTTGCGGTTCTCTTCACGCGACACAACATATCTTCGAATGCCAGCAGCGGTTGGTAGTTCACTATGTATTTCGGGTCGGTTTGTAGTTCCGAATGATTAATTTGATCTAATATTCTTTCGTAATCTGTCCGCAAATTATCTATCGTTTCGATTTCATTTAAAAAGGCCTCCCGTACTGCCTCTATATGAATGTTCTTTATATAATCACTTATATTCTGCACACGCGAAAAGAGTATGTCCCTCTTGGCATAAAGCGTTTTAATTTTGATTTCACTTCCACTAACTGCCATTTTAAATTATTATAATAAAGTTATATTAATCACAATTAATCTCACACGCATAAACGACGTAGGATGAATACTCGGCGTGCCGTATTACGTAATCAGATCGAGCGCCCGATGCAGTCAAGGCTACGCGTCGTTTGCTAAACCTAATAATTTTATAAAATTGTGGGGTAAGCGTATCAAACGGTTGCTATCACGCCGTTTCAATTATTTAATAAGCTTTAAATTTAACCAAATACGAGCGCTATTAAATGAATAATTCTGTTTGCGAGTAACAAATCAAAATTTTAATTTAAACGAACACTATTTAAGTCTATTCTATAAATTAGAGTGCGTTATCTAAACAATTAATTTAATAATTCGACCAGAAAATGGTTGGATAACCACTAAACACCAATCCAGATCCTGCCGAAGTGACCATAAAATGATGGAGCCACGTGTTTAAGGCTGCCGAAAATCTAGTTCCCCGGTCAAACCTCAAACCTATTACGCGAGATATTAACTAAAGTGGACTGTATATGCGATTGCTTCTACGCTTACGTAAAGCGACTACTATAGCATGCGGTACAATGCACTCGCTCTTCCCTAAACTAAACTATTACTTGTCGAATCGATGAAAGGAATCCTGCTTGACTAGGAAAAAAAAACACAGATTGGAGCGGGTTAAACTATTAGCAAGCAGGTATAATTAAGGAATATTGACTCACCGGGGGTTCTTCTTCCTGTCGATCACTATAGCGGCGACTTCTGGAACACTCCGGAGAGAGGCGGTGCGCGACGATATCTCACACGAGGTGAGGCGGGTTCCTGGAGCTCGACTGCTTCCAGGCCAAAGCGGTTTCCACTAGTGAGGTGTTTCCAAACGAGCGCGCGGGAAGAGGAGGTTGTAGTTCAACGACGACTGCGGCGGGAGAAGAGGCTCGCGCATCGGTCGCGCGTGTCTTATATATCCTCGGCTCGGGTGATTACGCGATGTTCTAGAATCGTCTTCTTTCCCCTCCCACCCCACCACCCCGATGTGTCGATATTAGGGTACGAATGATATTGTTTGGAAAGGAAATAATGATTCTACAAGTTCCTACCGTCAAAATAAAAAACGCGAATGGTTTTCCGCGCAACCAAAGATCACAGTGTGAAGAGAAAGCAATTATATCCAACTTAGTAAGGAGGTTAACATACTTTAATGAGATTATAACTATTAACATAAAAGAGTCGATCTCATAAACAAAAGATCTTATACAAATGATTATGACTGACAGTCTGATTTTCCTGTGATATATGTGATGTGATAGGGTGCATGGACACAATTAAGTAAGCCTTACATAAATAATCCGCCACAAGGTTAAATTAATAAATATTGTATTACATAAATCTAAAGAAAGTAAGGAAGGTAAAAAAAACAAGAAACGTTAATCAGTAATAAATCAAAAATCGATAAAACAACCATTACCTGCTCTAGGTGTACCAAATGTAAGCCTCTTGGTTTTATTACAAATTATCAGATTTTGGTCAACTACATCCTACACTAGTCAGCGACCACAGTCTCAATACCTTTTTCATTAGATAAAGGTGTTGAGATTGTGGTTTCACTTGAATCCACTGTTTGTTTTGTCTGCACCGTCACATTTCCAATTTTTTCAACATCACCACTTATTCCAACTATACCATCAGCACCACTACATACATCAAACCAAGCCATTTCCTTATCACCCCCAAAAGGCACAGTAAACCCGCTGACTGTACTTCCCAATAGACTAGTTACCCGGTCTAATATGTCATCTGGGGGTATATAGTCGGCTAGACCACCACCAGTTTGAAATAAAAATATTAGATTTAACATTATTTTACAACATGTCATTACACTATAAAGATATACATGTGTTAGAAATAGATAACCTTAATTTGGTTCATCCTTGTTAGGGCGATGCGCTTGCGCAAGTTCTTTTTTAAATTTTCCCACTTCAAACGCAACTGCTGTGGTGTTCTCGGACAATTCGTAGCTGTGGCATTGAACCGCTCTGCCAAACGAATCCACTCTTCAGTTTTGAGTTTGTTGTTTATGGCGTTGGTTGTTTTGGTAGTTATTATTTTGCTACCTTCTATTAGGTCAAGCAAAAACTTTGTCTCTTATTTTGCAAGAGGTTTGCCTATTACCTAGTAAAAGAAAATTATAATGATTAACATCAATGTTACAAATAAGGCGGGAATAGTAAGCGTCATAAAGAAAGCACGCCAACTTAGAAATATATTATATAAAACAATAAGTACTTACGATTTCTGATTCCATTTTGCTGTAATTACTAATATTTAGCCTCTCAGCAGTCCGGGCCAAATTAGCCGCTTTGGCGCATCTGTCAAACCCTAAACGAGTGATATATTGCCTACGTGGCGCGTGTCATTAAAATGGCAATATCTTAATACTTATGTATGGGAACTATATAATATGATATGTTGTTAGAATTATTGTTAAATAAGCTAATAGAATATGTGTAAATGTGCACGTTCACCCTTTTGGTATGTTATAAATTCGATGGTAAAATTGATAGAAGCGATTTTTTTCCAGTTTGTTGAATATAAAATGTAATCATTGAAAAATTAAGCAATTATTTCAATAAATATTTACTTTATTTACTATACTATAACACACTTTACAATAATGAATAAAAAAAAACACAACTCTACATACAGTTTTTTCACACCACAAGCTCGACAATAATGTGGGCCACTTAAGATGACCCGAAACAGGCACAAAAAAAGGCACATTTTGTACTTCAATATCGACGACGCCTGAGGCACAATGGGCTTTAAATCTTAACTTATTCAATAGTTTGGTCTTTGTTCTTAATATAAACAGTTTCAAATGTTACAACTATTTAGTTATTAAGAAATGAACGAGTTGTAACCAACACTTGAAAAAGTGACCCTAAAAAAATGCTTTCAAACTTTTGCATTTGTAACGAACGATTTTGTAATTTATTTACATGTGAATGTATATTCCTAAATTTAATAACATTTCCTAAGTTAAAAACAAAACAAAGAAGGCATCTTTCATACAAAATTATGTTAGAAATCATCAACTAAAAGTTACACATTCACTACAAAAAGCACCAAGTGTGACGTAGTACCCAGCTATGCTAGTATGGATACGCTCTGTGGTGACTTCTTTAATAATTGTAATCATGAACATAAAATTAAAATTAAATACAAATTAGTTATTTTTCTTTGCTTTTTTATATTTTTAATTAACATTTGAATATTATAAAAAATGTTTGACAATTCTTTTTTTGCTAAAATAAGGGTTTATATTTTTGTTATTTTGATTTTTTTTTAATTTTACTTAATTTGAAGTGACCCTAGCCTAGTGATAGCTTGCGTGCGAGATCTATAACAAAGGTTAAGCAATGCACGCGTTAGCTTGCAACTGGATAGGTGACCGTTTCGTACTTTGAGGCTATTTCAACTATAGCACCGTAACGAGCTAAGGCTTATTGCTTAGCAATAAAAACTACTACGTACAAAAAGCAATCTCTTCCAGATAACCTTGGGCTAAGAGTGAAAACAAAGAGTGTTTCACTTATAAATCAAGTGCAGAAAAATATAATGACATGCACATACAAAAAGTAAAACAATTTACTGACAAAAAAATAAAACAAAACAAATAAGAAAAACAAATAAAAATCCACACCAAAAATTATCGTAAAAATATACCAACACTGGCATTCCCATAATCCTATCCATACTGTACAACCTGCTCTCGAAGATGGCGGATTTCGTGTAAATAACTTTACGACCCATGTCTGTCCACGATCGCCAGGTGGACGCGAGATTTAAGCAATTTGTTATTTTTAGTTTTATGAAATATTCAATCGAAACTATACAATTGTAATTATTGTTATGTTTGTAAATAAGTATGTTAACGATATTAAAACAATGTTTACCATTCACAATTGTACTTTTAATTTAAAACAATGGAAATTAATACGAACATGGTATCAACATGGCGGTCGAAATGGCAAGCAATGTTTGATAAAATGGAACAATTTATGTACAAATCGTCATCTAATATGTTTTAAATTAATAGAAAAGTATTTATGACTTACCCATTCATGTTTATCTTTAATATTAACTTCCGAAATTACTTTCAACAATTAATACTTTGCACGTAAACACACGACACCGCGTCACAGAACGAGCAACTGAACGGAATAAATGTATTACTATTTCACAAGTTCTATGGTTCGTTTATGAAGCGTGTGTGATATTAATTGCCGTCTTTGTTTAATTCTCTGCATGTTGTACCAGTTATAGGGAGATACGTATACTTTTACTAGGGCTGTTTCGAATCTGAAGTTTATAAGTAAACAGCAACCTTCTGATGGTTGTGGACAGATGTGTACATTTTGACAGCAACCTTTAGAAGGTTTTGGACTGACGAGAGGATATTAGAACAAAAGATAATGATTTCTTAAGTTTGCTACACGGAAATAACTAACGCCGAAACTCGCAATCAAAATGACCTGTCAAAATCAAAATATTTCAAACGTAAGATGCCTAACATCGTACGTTCCATTTCAGCTAAATAAACAAAAATTATAATTTCCGTAAATTTTTAGACATAATATTACTCGTTCTAACTACACTCATCATTTTGAACGATTTTTTAAGTAGTTACGTGAATGATTTGTTTTTAAATCACACTTAATATAGTTTTATTCAATCGATATTTTTCATCAATAGGAACGGTCAAGAGGGATTGGATTGCTTGCAATCTGTCGTCGAAAAAAAAAATTGGGATAGCCGAGTTAAGTTATTGGCATGCAGATAGAAGATCAATCGAACGACATGCACCAAGCCAAGATTGTGGTTAATCTTGGATTCGAGATACATTATTAATTTCGAGCGTTAGTCGGTTTTGAACTAAAATATAACCTTTACATACTTGGAAAAGCATCAAATATGCATGATATTATAAGAATTAAAATACCCTACTTTGGACCCACAACAAAGTCAAATATTTTTTTTATAGATGATAACTCATTACATAAGGTTCAATCGAAGATCTATTAACTTCAAGTCAGAATGGTTTCATCACCTTAGTGTTTTATTTTAAAATGGTATTGAGGTGAAGAAAAAAGAAATGTTTTGCATCAAACTTCAAAAGGTAATGTGTTAGGTTCTTAGCATTATCGTTACAGCCTATTAAAGTTCATTGTTGAACATAGGCCTCACCCATAGATTGGCCCATAGGGGGATATTTGTCATAGTTGCCACGCTTAGAAAACGGTTTTATTGTTATTTTAGGTCGTTATTAGAAAGACCCTGCTGCCCATCTCCTGATTTGTTTCCATGTTTTAGGTTCATATTTGTGTGAAACTGCAAATCAAATAAGTTTTGTTCGAATTTTTTTTATATAAATCCTATAGTTTAAGATAATGATTAAATTTCGTCTAATACGAGTATCACGTAATGTTTGTCATATGAATTGTATAATTAATACACATATAATATCAGATACCTCAAATTTGGGTATGAAAATGTAGTAATTATTTAATTTAACAATGAAAAGTGTGAGAGCGCGTAGATAAACAACCTCTCATCTCAAGGGTACCATGTTTAGAGTCGGGACTGCATTTAATCATCATCATTAAAAATTATGTCAAGGACACTGCCCTTAAACTTATTATTTCATATTTATGTAATAGAACGCAGGAAGTTATTATCAATGGTTAAAGTTCTTCGGGTCACCTGTACTAATAGGTGTTCCTCAAGGCTCAATTCTCGACCCATTCCCATTTCTAGTTTATATTAATCGCTGACCTTCCCTTGTAAGGGTATAATAATCACGATCAAATATTATTTGCAGATGATATCTCTTTGATTTTTAAATTTAAACGTCAATCATTACTCATCATCATCATCATCATCATTACAGCCCTTCACAAGTCCACTGCTGGACATAGGCCTCCCCCAAATAATGCCACAAAGCACGGTCCTGACCCACCTGCATCCATCGACTTCCTGCATGTCTTACCAGGTCGTCACTCCATCTAGTGGGGGTATCCAATAGTACACTACGCCTACTGGTACGAGGCTGCCACTCGAGAACCTTTCTTCCCCATCGTGTCAATCATTTAAAAGTGACGAAGTGAAAAAAGCTATATAAAATTAGTGCATTGGTTAAACGTTAATAATTTACGACAATCAATCAATGACAATAAAACTAAATGTATCAAATTTATAACACCTAATGTTAAAAATCTGAACACCAATGTGTTTTCAAGCGGGTAAGAACTGAGCCTTGTTTAATCCACTGTTTTTCTTTTCATCAATCTCGACGCAAAGCTTCAGTGGAACTCCCTTATATCCAAACTAGCAAGCAGATTAAGCTCTACAACTTATGCTGTAAAAAAGATTAGAGACCTCACTAGTGTCGAGATATCTAGATTAGCTTATTCCAGTTATTTTTCATACCATAAAGTTCTATGAAATTTTGTTATGCTGAAATGCGCTTGATTTAGAATGCCATAAGAGCTATTTACAACCCAAAATTGAGAGAGTCTCTTAGATAAAAATTTAAAGAAATAAATATATTAACTTTGGCCTTTTCTGTTATAAGTAAGGGCCTCTCAGTGTATTTACAAAAATTGTATGAATGTTCACAGAAACAAACGTAATGTTTAGTTAAAAAATTGATATACACTTTGTTAACACTAGGAACAAACACAAAATAGTAATACAAGTTTCTCGACTCCACAGAGTCAGTAATTCATTTTTGGGGCAATATACACGTTTGTTCAACAAAGTTCCAGAAAATATGCAAGGTCTTTCTATTACCAAGTT